GGGGGCACAACCAGGGCAACAAACTCGGTGGGTCATGTAATCAGTTAAAACACATAAGTAAATATAAACAGTTCCTAAAAAAAATTAGGATGTTTTGTTATCAAGTGGGGTTATTAATGAAAATTCAACAAACAAATGTGAAGGAGCTTGCCAAGAAAAAGTTGGTGCCTCTTATTTGATGAAAATACAATTTATACCAAAATTTTGGCTCTCCAGCCTGCCTGTGTTTTATCTGTACACGGGTCCTATTTATATGCAACGATATACGGTACTTAAATGTAGAAATTCCACAAACTCAGAGCCCCTACTGAATTTTTTATCTTCTTCTGTCACGTAAAAACTTTCATTCGGCTCTTGTGCTTTTAATCAGTAACTGTAAAAACCTTTTTCTACAATTCCAAGTAAAGATATACCTCCAATTCATCAAGGCAAGGGTACCTTTAAAATTTTTATCGTTTAAGTTTCAATCTAGACCAAAAAAAAGCACAAATGAGTATGAAGAAAAATTTTTCTCATTTGTTGAGGAAGCACATGAAATGGGGGGTAAAGGGGAGGAGTAAAAGGGGAAGATGAAAAACAATGAACAATCTAAACTACCAGACAGGAGTAAATGTCAGGACAGGGGCACGCTGACAGAGAAAGTCACTAGGTACATTTAGAAAATACAAATCAGCTAAAAGAATTACGATTGTTTCAGGTGATGCAGCAGATGCCTCTATCCCATTACGGATGCAAAGATCGCAAAACATGCTTGAAAAAGCTTGAACGATACTTCACAAAGATAATGGGAGTTATTTTCAGCTTATCTAGAGTAAAGAGCGGCACATTGACACCATAATGGCAGGACAAAAACAAGATGGACACACAGAAAAAAAAGGAAAAGAATACAAGTAGGATCTGCCAGTGGCATTCAATGGCAGGACAAAAGCAAGATGGACAGACAGAAAGACAGACAGAAACGAAAGAAAGAAAGAAAAGAAGTATGATCTAGTAAAGGCACCCTAAACAAACACACACAACAGAGGACAATAAATTGGTAAAGACTGCAAGACAAAAAACGAACAACAACAACAACAACAACAATATAATATATTGAATATATCTCGCAGCCAAATCCAACTGGCTGCCTCTGTTGTAGATGAGTGACAAGTCTCAAGCAATGACTGAAGGAGAGAGATGTCATCAAAAGAGAGGAGGAAAAACACACACAAACAGGTGAGAGCACAGCAGCAGGGGTGTAAGGCAAACATGACATGTGTGCAGCGTGTCACACACTGGGAGGCATGGTACGCACAGCGTGTAACGCACTTAGAGGGTTACTACACTAACAGTGTATAATGTTTTTAGACATCCAGCAGTGAATCCACTCCAACATACAAGTGTGTACTCCCATACATAGTTATAACTGTCACAATAAACATACCACAAACACACTGGGAGCATGCTTTACAACTAATCAAACGTGTTGACCAGTTTATTTCAAAGCTTTACTCATACAAACAAAACTTAGTTTAGCCCGTCATTAAAAAGCAGAGACCATCTTCTGTCTGAGGGTTAAACATGCAAGACTAAAAGAGTCTCCCCGGAGAACAGGAGCATTAAGAGTACACCTGAAAGAGATTGTCAAGCATCGTTTGCTTGGCGGCCCCACACTCAGACAGCTACAGCTTCCTCCTCAGTCAGACAATGCCTTATACGGAATAACTCAACAGCTGCACCGCACCCATACACATATCCCAGTTTGGCACTGGGACAAAGCTGGTTAGGGTAACAAATACTGTTATGGCTCTCACAACCAATCAAATGCTGAAGCCCATTCACCACACCCATAACAAGTCTGGAAACATAGAGCCAGGAGATGAAATATTCAAGTACAGGGACAATACTGACAATAGACTGAAATACACACAGACAAAACACAAGGGAGTACTTACAGATGGACTCTTGGGCAGTCCAACTCTCTGGCCAAAGCAGGTCAACAAGTTCACCAGCCTCTCCCGAGTACGAGCCTGCAATGATTAAAGAATAGAAGGAAAAAACATGTAAGATGGAATTCCTGATGTTAGGTGTAAATACATGTAGAAGACTCCAACCACATAGAATCCCCGTGCATTGGACAACATAAAAATCCTCAAACATCAGACACAACCATTATATACTAAACACAATCTCTTAAAAAGACAGAAAATGTCCATGTAATACACACAACACACTCTGTCAGAAAAAAACCACACAGCCTTCACACACATCATACAACTGCTGTCTCAGAAAAACACACAATCCTCACACTTGGCCAACTACTGCAACAATCCCTCGGAAAAAACCCACAGCACACAACTGATACATCTGCACACATCCCCCCTCTCCCCCCCCCAACCCCCCTAATCACCAACACCCTTCTCACCACAAAATCCAATTTCTCTACATCCCATATTATCTCTCTGCTTCCCCACCATACGAGACCTCTCCGCAACAAAACATCCACTCTCCCCGCACCGCTCACATCCACCCACTAAGCTATCAGAGACCTGTGAGGCCTGTGGTCTACGCCACACAGAGTCCAGGTCTTGGTTGTTAGACGGTTTCCGTGACAACGAGACAGCAGAGCCGCTGATGGACGAAGACGTAGCCCTCTCCTTCTCTTCGGCTGCGGATGGCTTGTTTGTCTCAGGGGAAATAAACTTGCGGCCAATAATCGGGACTTTGGACAGGTCAATAGTGAAGTCCAGTGTACGACCTTCGAGATGAGAGTTAAAAATTGTTGATCAGTACATGCAAGGTTCACACAACTAAATAAAAATGGTGGTGATACAAATAATCAGAGAGGAGAAGTTATACAATGTATAGGAGGACCTGAAAAGCTGGACAAGATGCAGGAATTTTGCATGGACTAGATCTTTCTAGATTGAAGCGATACAAAAGCTGTACTTGTATATCACATCTTTTTTTTTTTAGTAGAGGTTTTACGGGGCTCGCAACTGCATAAGGTCATATGAGCGCCAGAAGATTAGAGGTGTTACAAGAGAGTAACAAACATAAAAAAGAAGAAGGGGGAGATAAGGACGATAGATGTTTGATAGGAAAGAAGAAGCAAACCACACCAGAGCACCCGCCAACCACCCACAAATCACATCTAGTTTCCCTGGTTAACTATAACAGTATTAACAATATACTTTCACCTAGACATATATTTCTTAATGCGATACAGCAGGTATTGTATTTTAACTGTAGTTGGTTTTTTTAATCGACAATAAATTTAAGCATGCTGTGGCCCAATATGCATCACAAACATGTAGATCAGTAATACAAAACAATCACTTTGGTACAGTGACTGGAATTTTAACCTATTCTTGGGAAAGGAGGGAAGGGGGGAGGGGGGGGGGAGAGAGAGAGAGAGAGAGAGAGAGAGAGAGAGAGAGAGAGAGAGAGAGAGAGAGAGAGAGAGAGAGAGAGAGAGAGAGAGAGAGAGAGAGAGACAGAGAGAGAGAGAGACAGAGAGAGAGAGAGAGAGAGAGAGAGAGAGAGAGAGGGAGAGAGAGAGACACACACACAGACAGACAGACAGAGAGAGAGAGACAGAGAAAGAGAGAGAGAGAGAGAGAGAGAGAGATGGACAGACAGACAGACAGACAGACAGACAGACAGACAGACAAGCAGACACACAGACAGAGATAGCAACAATGATAGAGAGAAAGAGAGACACAGAAAGAGATAGACAAATAAAGCTTGAGACATCAAGCCTACCAGGCAACTCTTTGCTAAACTTCGTGAGACTCTCGGCCTCAGCAAAAGACGTGAGCGCTGAGTGAGAGAACATGGTCAGCTCGCTGGAGGAAGTGGTGGCGCCCGAGGAGGGGGGAGGGGCAGCCAGGGTGGATGACCGAGTCACCGCCAGCTTCACAATCTTCAGCGCCTCACGCCAGTGGTGGCTCTGTGTGTGGGGAGGTCACATGATAAAGGAAAGATCAAGTAACCTCATTGTCAGATAAAAATGTACAAGTAGAATGGCTAGCAAAGTTTTGTATAGTGCAAATACATGCAGACCAACAAGTATTTTTTCCAATAAGTGTGATCAGCAGCCTTGGTGATTATATTTTTGTGTAAGTGCTTTTTTTGTCAGAAATGGTGTATGATGGATGCACTAGTATTTGAAAGGATTGTTGGACACACCATGAATGAAATATGTCATTACGTAAGCTGTCAAAATTTTTTTTATTGTGAAGCATCTAGAGCCACCAGGGAGTGGGCGTTATAGAAGGTAAATTTATTTTCTTATTACTACTTGCTGATCTCAGTATCTGTTCTCCCTCCATCCACTATGGCCATTTCCACAGACTGACCTTAACACCTAAGTGACCCCTGAGAAGTTAACTTATCTCTTGGCAATGCTCTCTACAGGACAAGCAATGAGAACACTTGCTTTTAAGACTTCTTTCAACACACACCTGTCTGACTTGCAGTATACAATCCATGGTCTCCTAGTATGTGCTAAACAGAAGTTAACATCTTCTTTGTTAATTAGCTAGCCACACGTAGGTTAAACTAAAATTATTCCTATCTCGGTGATGTGTAGGCTTCTACCCAGACAGCAAAGTTTGCAGCCAGGAACTCGACCATTGTGCAAGCCACAAGTTGCCTTGTTACTAAGGTGTTGACATACTCGGTTATCGCATGATGAAATAACTTCTGGTTGACCAAAGACAGAAGCCTGAAAGTTGTGCATTTGCAATTCGAAATAAAGCTTTTAAATGCTCAAAAGGCAGCATGCTCTTCTCTGCCAGAATTGGTTTATTTCACTATAAGGGGCCCTTATTTCTTTCATTTTGCTTAAAAAGCATTCTCCTCTGCAAATGCATTGGTTATCATTAGATATTGATGGACGAACTATTATTATTATTATTATTATTTTTATTGACCACAACATCCCCCCCCCCCAATGCTTTCAACCCCAATGTGGCACAACTATGAACTGACCTGTAGATACTTGCTGACAGCATGAAACAGCTCCTGGTTGACCACTGTGCTGGTGGCGCTCTGAACGTCCAGATAGTGGACCATACAGTACAGAATCTGTAGACAAGACTGCTGGTAGCTAGGCTGACCCTTCTCCAGGACCTGTGAACAAATTCAGACCATGAGAAACATTAATCGGCCAATTAACAGTCTGCACCTCTTCTGATTGAAAGTAACAACACTACATAGAAACTCCCTTGGGATCAACAGTGTCACAGACAACATAAATGTTATTAGTGTAATAGAGGACCATAGTGCCTTAGTAGAAAAATATAAAAAGAACTGAAAATTTGAACAAAGTTTTGACAAATCTTCTGTACATGTACACCAAAAAAAAAAGCCATATTTGGCCTGTCTGACTTCTTCAGAAACGTGATAGTAAAAAGATAATACTGTGGAAACAAAAACGAGCACTTACAATTGTGATGGGTGAATGGTTTGCACAAAATACGAGGTGTGTCTCAGAATAAAGTTTCCCTGTCATGCTGTCCTCACATATAATTATAAATCACCTTGTATTTGGTATCAAAGGAAAGCTGATTCAAATACCTATTCAATGTAGGAACCATCAAGTTCAAGACATTTCTCCATTTGACATTCCCAGCGGTCAAAGACAGCGGTCAATGATCGTTTGTCCAAGGTCCCGGGTGCCTTTCTCATATAGCCTCTTGAACCTGGTCCTCGTCCTCAAACCGCCGACCGTGCAGCATTTTTTTCACCTTGGGGAAGAGGTGGAAGTTGCATGGGGCGAGATCAGGCGAATTGGGCGGGTGCACCATTGATTCCCACGAGTAGCCCTAAAAAAGCTCGTGCACAACTCTGGACTTGGGAACAGGCGCGTTGTCATGATGCAGGATGCCGCCTTCTTCAAGCAAAGCGGGTCTTTTTTTCTGGATTGCAGGTCTCAGCTTGTCTTTGAGGACGAACCTGTAGCAGCCACCATTGACAGTTACGCCAGGTGTGACTAGCCAGCTCAGTATGAAGCCACTCATGTCGAAAAAACCCCAATGTGCATCACCGTTCTCTCCCCATGTTTTCTGTGTGCGCTTCATCTTTCATGTCAGACCTCCCACCTTCAACCTCCATGATCCATTTCCTTACTGTTTGAGTTGATGGGGCATTTTTTATTCCCTGTTAGTTTGTAAAGATCACCATGGGTTTCAACTGCAGACTTGCCGAGAATAGTTGAAAATTTGATGACAACTCAGACATCGTAGCATGAGACGGTTGCACCAATGTTTTGCTCAGCCGTTTTCCTCGGATTTGCCTTGGACAAAGTGAAGAAGTACACCACACTTGACACGTCACAGCTCTATGACCCGTTCGCCAATGCACTTGCAATTTGTCGTTCAGATTTCTTAGTCATGGTGTCATGACCTCACAAACTTTAGTGGCTGTTGGTTGCGTACTTTGAGTTTTATTGAGGAGGGAAACTTTATTCTGAGACAGACCTCGTATATAGAGGTCATCTGGGAACAACTGAGGTTCAGAAAGAGAAAATGCGATGCTGTAATAGTATTGTTAGCATAACTTTATTTTTTATTATTTTTTTATAGTAGAGAGTTTTACGGCGCTCGCAACTGCATAAGGTCATATGAGCGCCAATTATATAACTTTACATACCACAATTTCACAATTAGTTTGATTAGCACTAAGGTCATGCAAGTGCAGAAAATTAGAGGTATTGCAAGAGAGTAGCAAACACAAAAAAGAAGGAAAGATAAGGAAAACAGCTGTTTGATAGAAAAGAAGGGGCAGACCACATTGGAGCACCTGCCAACCACCCAAACATCATTAATGTCATAAACTATGCCAACCCGCCTGTGTGACAAGACTCACCTCTACGAGAAAAGAGACCATACTGACGGCGCTGGGGGCGTACTCGTCCAGCAGGTACTTGACCACACACTTAGTCCACTGGAAGCTGTCCTTGCCGAACGTACCGCGGCTGTACAGGGACATCACCGTGGCCAGGTTGGACAACCGGTCACCTTGGTGGTTACACACCTAGACACATTCGGGAGGAGAAACAAGATGGGTAATGGAAATGATGCTTGGCATCAAATCTCAGTCTTGAGAAAATCTTTTTCTTAGTAACAGATCTTCTTTTTCTGAATCCAATCATACCTGAAGACTGGTATCTTTCATATGCTGGTCTGTCCTGCTCAGTTCCTGTTGGCTTATACAGTTTCTCCTGTAGTATAAATGGGGCTGACCACGTCTCATGTCTTATGAGGAGATATATCTACACATCAGCAGGATTGCATACATGAACACATATGGGGGTGACGTTCAAAACATATTTTTCCCAAAATATTCACATCCCCAGAGGGTTAGGAGATAACAAATCAGACCAACTGCAAACTAGCAATCAAAGGTTGAGAAAAATATGAGAGCCCCATGAGGTGGCCATGTGGCCTAGAGGAGTCAAGGAGAGGAGAGTACGTACCTGGGCCACTCTGTCTGCTGTGTCCCGGCAAATCTGACTGGGGTTCTCGTAGTTTTGCACCAGGTAGGGCAGAAGGGCTATCGTCACCATTGGGAAACCTGTCCAAGAGGGTATGGAATGTGAAAGTGAAATAAGAGAGAGGGGGCTGTGTGTATGTGTGTGTGTGTGTGAGAGAGAACTGTGTGTGCGTGTGTGAGTGTGTGAGAGAGAGAGAGACAGAGAGAGAGAGAGAGAGAGAGAACTGTGTGTGCGTGTGTGAGTGTGAGAGAGAGAGAGAGAGAGAGAGAGAGAGAGAGAGAGAGAGAGAGAGAGAGAGAGAGAGAGAGAGAGAGAGAGAGAGAGAGAGAGAGAGAGAGAGAGAGAGAACCAAGGGTAGGAAGTTGGAATTGGTCGTTTATAAAGGAGATTGTCTTGCACAGGTTTCCGTAACAACAGGTTCGACTGTATGTTCAAAGCATTACCTTAAGAATAAGATTTTTTTCTACCATAAACGAGTGATTACAATTGGCAATTTCACAAGTAGGATAAATCATGATCTCCACACATAACCTATGCAATGAGTTCATCATCTTTTTTTTGTGACCGGGGTATGTGGTGTAGCGGGTTATGCTCTTCGCCGCTGGACGCAGAAGACTTGAATTCGATTCCCGATTGGAGAACCTCGTATTCTTTCAAAGTCGTTTTTTTTTCAATTCGTCTGCAGGGGTGTTGTATCTCAGTAATCTCGTTATGATCAGATTCTATATGTGTCACGAATCATGTGGAATCAGGCGCTCGTCCTTTTTGGGCGGGG